GAGCAATAAAATATCTGACATTTTGGTTGTTAGAGTTTTTGTTTTGTTTTGGCTTCAAAGCACTGTTCTACAATTTATTAGCCTTTTAAAAACTCTATGTTTGGTTATTGTTTAACGAATATTAACTCAAAACCAAACTCACTGCCATCGAGTCGATTCCAACTCATAATGACCCCTTTTGGGTTTCTGAGGCGGTAAATCTTTATGGAAATAGATTGCCCAGTCTTCCTTCTGCGGAGTGGCTGGTGGTTTTGAACCGCCAACCTTCTGGTTAGCAGTCAAATGCCTTAGGCACTATGCCACAGTGCTCCTTTTAACCAATATTACTTTCTTTAATTACAAGAAGAGGATGTGCATTCTTTAAAAAAAGGATACAAAAGGTGGGCCACAATTATAGACTGGATCCATGAATGACATGCAGGGAAATACAGCTGCGATGTCCAAATGAGGAATGAAAAGTTAATTACAGGGGGACACCATCTTTCTGTGCTGTTAAAAATTTGTCTGAGGAGGGAAAGAAAAAGTTTACCCCCAAATGAAGTAAAGGTTACCTCCACAAAACCAAACTCACTGCCATGAAATTGATTCCAACTCATAGTGACCTCCACCGGTTTTCAAAGTCTATAAATCTTTACAGAAGCAGGTTGCCTCATGTTTGTTCTGCGGAGTGACTGGTGGATTTGAACCACCAACCTTTCTGGTTAGCAGCCAAATGCCTTAACCAGTACACCATCAGAACTCCTTTAAGGTTTTTTTTTTTTTTAAACAAGGGTATAAAAAGTTATCAATATACCAAAAACCAAACCCATTGCCATCAAGTTGAGTCTGACTCACAGAGACCCTGTAGGACAGAGTAGAACTGCCCCATAGGGTTTTCAAGGATGTAAATCTTTACAGAAGTAGCTCACCAGGTCTTTTCTTCCATGGAGTGGCTGGTGGGTTTGAACCAACAAACTTTTGATGAGCTGCCAAGGTCTGTAACTACTGTGCCACCAGGGCTCCCTTATCATCCACATAGGATAATATTATATTTTAGTATGAAAGAGCAAAGGCAAGACACAAAGTTTTACATTGTAATCTACTCATAAATGCTAGCACGGTTATATTTGCATGGCTATATTCACTCTGTCTGAACAAAAAAAGTGACAATTATTGCTCGCTCTCTCTTATGTTTATGTGTCTACCTCTTAGTGTACAGAATCGGGCTGAGAAACATCCTTAAAAGGTATAACTGTGAAAATGCAAGCTGTTAGTACAACATTTTACTGAGATGTGAGAAAAGTAAACAATGGAAATGCAAACACAAAATATGGTTCTACTTCAAATAGTAAATATTGGTTCAAAAATGTCAAAAGAAGTATTTGCATGACAAAAATTATGGATACATTGACCTTAGCAGATTACCACATAGCAGCATGTTTTCTGAGTGACTCAACAAAGATTCAAGAGAGGGGTTATCTACTAGAACAAGATTTTATTGCTTGGGTCAGGTTTATTTTGGAAATGGATACTTTCCACTTTATTTATTATTTTAATTTACATATATTTAATGCCATTTTAATGCCTTTTTTTTGCCAACTTCTTATTTTTTATGAGATTTTAATCTTTGGGTTTTTGCAATTAGCTGGGATTACAAAATATAAAAATATTATTTGATATTTATATAATGCTTACTCTGTGCCAGACCCCGCTCTAAATGCTATATATATATATTACCTCATTTAATCCTCAGAACTCTTGTGGAGTAGGTACTGTTAGGATCTCCATGTTATAAATGAGGAGACTGAGGCACAGAGAGGTTAAATAATTTGTCCAAGAAAACACAGCTAGTAAATTGAAGAAAGACTGGAAGGAAATACATTAAGATGTTTTCTCAGGGTGTGGGGCTATTAAGAATTGTTGAGAGCATGACATGGCAAGATCTTGAACTAGACAGCTGAGAAAAAACAAAATATCAACAGACTTTGTGGACTGATTCAACATGCTATTGTGGGAGAGGAGAGGTCTGGCTTGAGTGACTGAGACATGTATATAGGGCAGTGAATATAAAAGGTGCAAGAGATTTGGAAGAAATCATGTACTGGGTTTTGACATGTTGCGTTTGATTGTAAGCATTTGAATATGTGAATTTCAAGTTCAAGAATGAAATCAGGCAAGGACTTGAGATCTTCATAGAGAGCTGGAGATCCAGAGTGTAATAAAACGATTTGGAAAAATAAAGAGGTCAGATGATTTCTTACATCTCCTAACCAGCATTTCACTTCTTAAAGAATTATACACTTCAGGCAAGCAAAAAGATGAAGGAGCCATGTACTATGTGTTGTCAGTTGAGATCTCTCAAAAGTTCTACTTGATTACTCAAGGCTGTCACAACCCAGGGAGAGTGTGGAAGACAAACGCTGTGGGGCAAGGTAGTACTACGGAGAACCTTAATATTTACAGGATATGCAAGGGATAAGAAGCCTATTTAGATACATGACAAACATATATATGAAATGTATATACATTAAAATAACAAATATGAAATCATATATATGTTTATATGAAATGAAGGAGCCATGGTGGCACAGTGGTTAAAGTGCTCAGCTGTTGATAGGTCAGCCGTTCAAACCCACTAGTTGCTCTGTGGGAGAAAGATGTGGCAGTCAGCATCTGTAGCGTGGACTCAATAAATATCAGATATTATCACTAAGGAGTAAAAAAAAAACCAAACTCACTTCCATTGAATATCGGTCCCAACTCCTAGCGACCCTCACTGGGTTTCAGAGGCTGTAAATATTTGCAGAAGTAGATCATCCCAACTTCCTTCCATGGAGCGGCTGGGTGGGTTTGAACCGCTGACCTTCTGGTTAGCAGCCAAATGCCTTATCCACTACACCACCAGAGCTCATTATCACTAATGAGTTTACAAATAAAATTATTTTTCATTCAATTGTCATAAGCTGCCAGTTGAGAAAATAGTCCAGAAGTCTGTTGGATACCAGGAAAAAGCTTGGGTGGAATTACACAATTTTATGAAAAAATCACCAAAATAATTTAGAAGTAGACACTCAAGAAGAGATATTTTCCATGATTTTGTATGGGATATTACAGGTAAACGGGTACTAATGTATGCCATGGAGTTGATTCTGTCTCATAGGGACCCTAGTGACAGAGTAGAACTGCCCCACAGGATTACCTATGCTGTAATATCTAGTGAAGAAGTTCTGGTGGCACAGTGCCTAAGGTATTTGACTGCTAACCATAAGGTTGGTGGTTCAAACCCACCAGCTGCTCCACGGAAGATGGGGCAATCTATTTCCGTAAAGATTTACTGCCTTGGACACCCAATGGGGCTCACTATGTGTTGGAATCAATTCAATGGCAGAGGATTTAATCTTTACAGGAGCAGATCACCACGTCTTTTCTCTCTCACAGGAGCTCTGGTGGCATAGTGCCCAAGGCATCTGACTCCTAAGAAGACTGGCGGTTCAAATCCACCAGCCACTCCTCAGAAAGCCGACTCCTCAGTCTACTTCGGTAGAGATACTGCCTCGGAAACTCAAGGAGGGGTAGCTGTGAGTCAGATCCCACTTGACGACAGTGTGGTTGTTTTTTTTTTTTTTTTCTCTCCCTCAGAGTGGCTGGTGGGTTCCACCTCACATTTTGGTTAGCAGCCTAGCGCTTAACCATTGCGCGGCTACCAGGGTTCCATAAACGGCTGTATGAGTATTATGGGTATTAGCAGTTAGTTAAAAGAATTGATGAGTTTTATGTAAATACTGACATATAAGCTACAAAAGTGCATTTAAAAAAATCCACTGTGAATATTTCGCAATCAGCCCCCTGTGCTTGGCACAGGGTAAACTCCCAAATGCGTTGGCTGAGTGTAGCAAAAAACAAAACAAACCAACAAAAAAAACACCAAACCCACTGCCATCAAGTCAAGTCTGACGCACAGAGACCAACATTGGGTTTCCAAGGCTGTAAATCTTTAGGGAAGTTGATTATCTCATCTTCCTCCCGGGGAATACTGGTGGGTTTGAACCACCGACCTTCTGGTTAACAGCCAAATGCCTCATCCACTACCACACCAGAGTGTTGCAGGGTGATTTGGAAAAATAAGGAGGACAGATGATTTCTTACATGTGCTAACCAGCATGTCACTATTTGAAGAATTATACATTTCAGGCAAACAAAAAGATGAAGTAGATGTGCACTGTGTGTTGTCATCTGAGATCTCTCAAAAGTTCTACTTGACTACTTAACTTTTTCTCCGTCAGTATCTGCGGCATATTTCAAATTCCCGGCCTTCAGGGTCCTCCTCTGGAAGGAGGTTTCGAGTCTTCCGCTGCAGCCCTGGGAGTCCTGGGGGGGGGGGGTAGGCCCAGCTGCCGAGACCACCCAGGCTAAAGGAAGCTTATGGAGGGCCAAGTCTCTCTTAGCCTTGGGCCCGGTCACCTCCACCATTCCTAAAATCAGCTGGCTTTTCTCAGGCATAACTACGGCCAGACAGTTGGGGTGCAAAGATCCTAATCCTCATCAATGCAATATCGTTCCCCGGCATGTGGGAGGTGAGGAGCCAGCCAAATCCAGTTAAAATCTCAAAGGTATTCTTTGTTCTTTTAGGTTTAGCCACTTTAACTCCATGCAATATTTAAGGTATGAGCTAATTTATTTTTATCTTTAAAATTTTTTATTGTGGTAAAATATATACAATATTTACCATTACGTGTACCTTTGCCCTTTTTAAAGGCCTTCAATTTATAAATCCCATGCTGTGAAACTGTGGCTCGGGAACACGAAACCAGGTTAAATGCACAGGCAGTTGGTTCCTACTCAGTCGTCTGACCGTGGCTTGCTTGGGGTTTACGGGTCCTCCTCCGCCTCCGTCCTGCTCCAGGTCTCCCCCGCTTGTCCCCTCGGACAACGCCCTGGCCCACTGGGAGGCCGTCACGTATTGTGCGTCCAGAGGCGCGACTTCAGGCGCCAACATCACGAAGCCCCGCCCCCGCCGCCGTGATATTACCCGGGCCGCCCGCCATTTTGTCTCTAGTCTCTCGTTTGCAGTCCGCAGCGTCGGGAGAAGGTTGTTGGTCCTTGGGTGTGAGGCAGGGACCAGGGTCTATTGTCTGTATTTGACTTCGTAGTTTGGTCCGAGGGCTCTCGGAGCTTTCCCGGGGCAGTAGGCGAAGCCCCAGCGACCGCCCTCCCCCATCCCCTCCGTCCCCGGGATCGGGAGGGACCGACCCCCGCGTCACGCCCCTCGTCGGTCGTTGTTCTCGTCTCTCTTGTTGCGTCCGCCTCGTGTCCCCGGAATCAGACGGTGCCCCATAGATGGCCAGCTTTCCCCCGAGGGTCAACGAAAAAGAGATCGGTGAGACATGGGGCGGACTTCCCCGAGGTTTGGCGGGTGAGGGGTGAGCGCGCGGGGGCTCAGGAGTGGAAAGGACTCCCCGGAGGCGGTTGGGGAGGGGACATCTCTTGATTGAGGGAAGAAGAGTTAGCGGGGCCAAGCCTTTGAGCGAAGAGGACGGGAACAGCCCTACGATGGATGCTTCCTGAACGATAACTGGGCTCAATATTGATGGAGCGCCTATTGAGCGCCTGGCATTAGGGAGGCGGATGAACGAACGTGTATCTTAGAGTGAAACCCGGGCGATGGGTGGCGGTGAATCCGGGGCCCAGCACTGCATCGGCCTCCGGGTGGCGGAGGCGGGCGCTCGCTCGTCTGAACCCCGTTTTCCTCATCTGGAGGCCACTCAGGGCCGCATCCTGTGATTCTCTTGCTCGGAGACTGGGGCGTCGAGTGGACAGAGAAGGGGTGTGACTGGGCAAGTGTTAGAGACTTAAGGTTAGGATGGGAAAACAAAATCTGTGTGTTTTGAGCCGTAAACGAAAGCAGGGGGCCTTCATGCACCCCAGACACTCAATGAGAAATGTGACCGAAAAATGCCAACCGCCTAGAAAAAGCAATTATTAAAAAAAAAAAAAAAAGACAGTGGTTCCGGGGAGGAGACTCAGAATTATCTTTCATACACTTATGGGAGGAGCACAATGGTTGGGTGGGGTGACAGAACGAAAGCTGTTGTACGAAGAGTAACTTCTGGAAAGGCTATCTTAAAGACTGGTTTTCAGGCTAGTGTGCACGTTGAAGCTTAAGGGTTCAAGACTTACCCCAGGACTGGGTTGAAAGCACCTCACATTGCTTGAATTCTCTCACTAAAACTAACGAATAGCTTGAACAACTTTTAGTGGGAAAAAGGGGTGCTGTGTATTGACTGATAGGCTCAATTACAGTGAACTTACTGTGGTAATTAAAAATTTAAGGTGACCATTAAGCAATCTTTGCATTTCCGTACTTAAGTAAAAAATGCTTTTACTAAAACACATGGAGGAGGTGTTTCTAGAGAAGAGAAGTAGAACTAACCAAAACGCCCTTTATCCTGTGTGTGGGTGAATCTTCTAGATCTAGAAACAGCTTAGAATTCTGGACTTTCCTTCCCTTAGCCATAAAGTTGAATGTTTGGTTAGGAGTCGACTTTAACCTCAGTTTTAATAACTTTCAAAGATTTAGAGAATACACAAAATGTGTCCAATTTTTATTTTAACTGTACTTTATGTACTTAACTACAGTGGGGCATAAAACTCAAAAGTTCTGATCTTCTGTCCAGTGTGCTTTTACCCCCCACCACATAGTGTTATTACAGATGAGTGATCTTTTCATTTACTTACTTTACTTCATCTTGAAGTACCTTTGAAAACTTTTCCAGTCCTCTCTTCTAACGGATGAGTAGAGGTGCTTGATATACATACATGGTTCATAAATAAGAACCATCCACACACAATGTAACCTTTTATTTTTCTTTTTTTTCACCCATATTTAGGTCTTAATGTTATTACCTGGCTATAATATAAAGTGGGAGTTCTGGTAGCATAGTGCCTAAGGACTGCTAACCAGAAGACTGGCATTCAAACCACCAGCCACTCAGAAGGAAGGTTGGGCAATCTACTTTTGTAGTAATACTGCCTCGGAAACCCAAGGAGGGGTTGCTGTGAGTCGGGTCCGACTTTCTGGTTTTGAAATTTTAGGGAAAAATGTGAGGAAGTTGAAGGTGCTAAGTCTGGTTTGCTTTGTTCAGCAGTGACTCAGATGATATCTCTAGTGTGCAGGTATTAATAACATAGTGTTACATCTTATGGCTGAGTTCCCATGGCAGGCTTTACCTTTATACAAGGATATTAAATCATAAACTTCATAGGATACTATCATTAAACAGTGCAGGTAATGTAATAAAGATTTGTCTGCCTCCCTCCAAAAGCACTTTATTATTAAACCTTGTGCTAGGTATTTAATGTTATACCAATAAGTATTTAAATTGAGATACTTTGAGAAGTCATTTGGTATTTCTGTTAACAAGGAAACACTATGAAGGCATTTTTTAGATACATGTTATTTCATGTGTTCACTATTTCATGATCTTTGCCTTTGGAATCTGTTTTGTAGTTAATTTATTACCTGTCTTTAGTCAGGAGGGGTTTTGTGATTGTGGCCAAGGTAAAAGAAGAAAAATGCCTTGTGATCTTAAAATACAGACTGAAAACACGAGTCTCCTCTGTGGGAAATTTTAGTCTTATACTTGCTAAAACAAAACAAAAAAACCCACTGCTGTCGAGTCCCTTCTAGTTCGTAGCAACCACCATTGGGTTTCCAAGGCTGTAAATCTTTATGCAAGTAGATTGCCTTACCTGCTTTCTGTGGCTGGTGGATTTGAACTGCTGACCTGGTTAGCGGCCAGATATGTCTTAGGCACTATGCTACCAGAGCTCCTTTATGCTTGCTAAAGGAGAGCTGAATTCTAGTCTAATCTAATGACATTGAATGCAAAGGCTGGTCCTTTATTTTTTGAGATAGAAATGTCATTAGTATACAGGCAGTCACGGGGAATACAAATAAGATCAGTTACTACGTGTCTTTAAGTTGAATATTTAGGTAGATTGGAACAAATGCATACGGTTCTTTTTAGCCTTACTATATATAGTGCAAGGAAGTGCTGTGGTAGAGTAGTACCTAAGGCACTTGACTGCTAACCAGAAGGCTGGCGGTTCAAACCCACCAGCCACTCCTCGGAAGTAAGATGGGGCAATCTACTTCCGTAGTGATACTGCCTCGGAAACCCAAGGAGGGGTCGCTGTGAGTCGGGTCCGACTTGATGGCATATAACAACAACAACAACATAGTGCAAGAAAGGAGGCCTGGTGGTGCATTGGTTAAGGCATTCTACTGCTAACGAAAAGGTCCGTGGTTCAAACCTACTAGCCAATCCACGGGAGAAAAGATGAGGCAGTCTGCTTTGGTAAAGATTTACAGCCTTGGAAATACTGTGTGAGGCAGTTGTACTCTGGCCTGAGGGGTTGCTATGAGTCAGATGGGCTGTGGGTTTGATTTTGTTTTTTTAAGTGCAAAAAAAAAACCTCTAAGCCTTTTCAGTGCTATAAAAGCTGCAAGTGCAACAAGGTAAGTTGATTGTGAAGAATTTGTTACTAGTGGTGGTTGATTCAGTGGTATCACAATGAGGACAGATTTACGTAGCATTAAAGGGCAAGTTGTAAGCTCAGAAGGAGGGTTGGCGATCTACTTACTACTTACGTAGTGATACAGCCATTGAAACCCAAGGAGGAGTCTTTATGAGTCGGGGCTGACCCAAAGCCACATAACAACAACAACTTGAGTTGTAAGTGGGACATTTGTAGGGACTTAATGTACACATCTGGTTTAACCAGAAGCTGCTTCTTTTTAAGATAATTTATATATTTTGCACTTGAATTTTTAACTTTTTTTGTGAACTTTGTGTGTTTTCTCCAGAAAATTTATGAATTTTAAAAAGATGTCATTTAATAGAAACTTAAGTTTAAAAATAAAAATTATTTAGGCAGAGGTTGCAAACTCAGGGGCCCTGGCTCACTTGTTAATATATTGAAGAACTGGGTGAGGAACATATTTAAATCACTTAAGAATGGGAATTCACACATGTGCTTTCATATTTGTTCAATAAATATTTACTGCTATAGTAGCTGTTGATACAACACACATTCATACTGAAAATGTCACCAAATGAGCATATTTTGGGGAATTGTGTATATAGCTACTCTAGCATTTAGTTGGACAGTTTAAGCCAAAAATGCATAAAAATACATTACACTGTAGAGTTGACAGCCACAAAATAGGTAACAACGAAGCTGAACAATAATAATAAACTGACAATAATTTATAACAGGAAAAGAAAAGCAAAATTTGGAATCGGGACCAACCTAAGACAGTATTAGACATACCCTGATAAAAGAAGTTCCTTTTCCAAAATTGAGGAACTTGCAGCTGACTTTCCGTGTGTACAGTAGGAGCTTGTTGAGCGTGCTTCTTGTAAAATACGGAAGTAAAATTCTCCTTACGCTCTAATAATGTGCCAGTTTTTGTCATAATGCTAAATTTAAATGATCCTGAATAAATTTAAAGTGTATGAAATTGTCCTTAGTCTTTAGGGACCAAAAGAATTACTGTGCTTCTAGTTTTGGATCAGTTTGTGGTCCCTTAGGAAGACACGTGAGAACTACTATTTGAGAATTATGAATATAATGAGTTTTAAAGTGTTGGTTAGACAAAATCTTTAAGCCCCTTTGAGTTCTGAGGGTTTTGTAATTTTGTGATCTGGGTCTGAAAGATACTCGTGTTAGAATGGACTGTTTTCATAATGCTTTCCTTTGAGTAATGGTGTAGTATTTTATAATGGCACATGATTTTTGAAAACCAAAAAATTTAATTTGGAAGATAATTTTCTTGCCAAGTAACTTTAGTCTCTTGGATTTTAAATAAGGTAGTAATTTGATGAAGATATAACATAATACAAAGACCTCAGAAATTGCCAGCCTTAATTGGTCATTAGCAGTTCTGGTGGCATAGTGCCTAAGGCATTTGACTGCTATCCAGAAGGCTGGCAGCTCAAACCTACTAGCCACTCCTCAGAAGGAAGATTGGGCAATCTACTTCTGTAGAGATAGCGCCTCGGAAACCCAAGGAGGGGTCGCTGTGAGTTGGATCCGACTCGAAGGCATTGTTACTTGAGCAGTTTTTTATTGCAGCTTTCTAAAATAACTCTTGCATCTGCGTCTGGAAATTTCAGAAATACCACTTTTACCACAACTTAAAGATTCATTGGGAGCTCTAGTAGCATAGTGCCTAAGGCACTTGACTGCTAACCAGAAGGCTGGTGGTTCAAACCCACCAACCACTCCTCGGAAGGAAGATGGGGTAATCTACTCCTGTAGTGATACTGCCTCACTTGGAAACCCAAGGAGGGGTCGCTATGAGTCAGGTCCGACTTGATGGCACATAACAACAACAACAACAAAAATTTATTATCAGTAAGGGGTATTTACACCATGTATCTCCCCTAAGGGAGTAGAAAGCAAAACTCTAGCCTGTCTCCATAGAAAAGGGGAAAACTCAGTAGGGTATGGTAAGTCTCAAAGTAATACGGAGACGGTCTAAAATTCATTGATTATAATGATATATGTGTTTTTTATTTTTCTCTTTAGTGAGATCACGTACTATAGGTGAACTTTTAGCTCCAGCAGCTCCTTTTGACAAGAAATGTGGTCGTGAAAATTGGACTGTTGCTTTTGCTCCAGATGGTTCATACTTTGCTTGGTCACAAGGACATCGTACAGTAAAGCTGGTTCCGTGGTCTCAGTGCCTTAAGAACTTGTAAGACACTTCTTCTTTGTACTTTGTATCTGTTCATGGAGTTAAGTCTGGGGTAATAAAGTATTTTGGTATTTAAGACTTTCCTTTGTAGATACTGTTGTAAATGTATTTGAATTATAGGCAGTATACTTACTGGAAAATGTGTGTAAAGGACTGTCTGGCCTTTGACAGTATAGACTGTTTTCTCAGATACTTTTGTGTCTTTAAGTTTTTCTGTGAGTTAAAAGGCTGATCACTTGTACCTTGTTAGTGCAGATGTGTTGTACCAGGGCAAGTGACCTTTACCTTTTTGGATTCACTTTGGATTTCACGGCAGAGGCTTAAATAATTTTATTAGATAACAGTACTGTATAAATGATGAAGTTACTTTTTAATGTATTTGCAGTCCCTTTGCTTGAGGTTAATTGAATTGTATATTTTTGGAAACTTTTCTAAAATGTGTTATATATGAAATTTAATCTTGCCCTGCTTTTAATTTATAGTCAACTTTCATGGTTATATTCATTAATGTTTTATTATATGTTGCTTTAGATATAGCAAGTATGGGATTTTGTCAGATGCTTGAGGAAAATTTAGAAGGTGAATAAGTTATTAAATTTCTTTATTTTTTACTTTGTTATCTCAGCCACTGAGAATTTCTTCTTTTCCTTCTTTTTATTTTTTAATTTTTGCAGTGTTTTCTCCCCTGAGAATTTCTTTAATGATCTGAATTTATTCAGTTATACTCTATTAGCCCAAATAGCAACTTTTCACCTTCCCATCTGTAGGATCTTGTTATCCAGTATCACTGTAATCATATTGAAGTTGAAGTTACTTTAATAAACAAGCAAAAAAATACTATGACATTATTCAGTACCCATAGGAGTCCAGCATAAAATAGTTCAATTTCAATCCTTTTCTTCCCTCCAGTCTCTTGCATGGCACCAAGAATGTCACCAATTCAAGCAGTTTAAGATTGTCAAGACAAAATAGTGATGGTAGCCAGAAAAATAAGCCTCGTGAACATATTATAGACTGTGGAGATATAGTCTGGAGTCTTGCTTTTGGGTCTTCCATTCCAGAGAAACAGAGTCGCTGTGTAAATATAGAATGGCATCGTTTCAAATTTGGACAAGATCAGCTACTCCTTGCCACAGGGTTAAACAATGGGCGTATCAAAATATGGGATGTATATACAGGTATGAATTCTTTATTAAGCTGTTTTTTGGTCATAGTTTTAAAAGCAGACCTGATTATTTTGTGATGCAGAGCACTACTCACACACACTGGGATATAGGATTTGAGGGTTTTAACTGAAAAGCGGGAAGAGTATTATGACTGTGTGTTTATAATTTTCCTGAATAGCTTTTATTCAGCTCATAGTTTTATTTAGGAAAACTTACGGAGTTCACACTACTTGATCACTCTTAGAAGAATATTATAAAAGGATGGGGATATCTAGGAGATACTTGGTTAATTACCACTTATCAACTAGTAATTTAATTTAATTCTCTGACTTAAATACCAAGGCATTTTCTTACATACTTTTTCAGTGGTTGATAGGTTAGGGGCTTCCAAAGTGATCCTGGCTTCAGCAATCATTATGTAATCTTTAGAAGGTTTTAGTGAAGGTTTATCTGAAGTTTAACGAGATAAGTTGCAAAGTTAAATTCTCTGGGCAATTAAAAGCAAATGTAAATAGTAACCAAAAATTTGTGAGTGGTTACCCATATCTGTGTGAAAATACATACATTCATAGAACACATAGGGGCACAGTTATGGAAACTTTTTAGACATCTTCACACCCCTTTGTGGCACTGAGTTACTGTGCTTGAAGGCTAAAGACCATAGTGTTGGGACATATAGGTCAGTTGGCATAATGTAGTTCATAAAGATAATGTTTTACATCCTAATTTGGTAAGTAGCATCTGGGGTCATAAAAGGGTGCTTTAAAGATGCAATTATTGGTCTCTTCCTGTCTGGGGCAGAGGAAACAGTGAAGTAAACAGAAGACTCGAGGGCCATAGGACTAATAGCCCACACGAGCCACAGCCGCCTCTAGCCTGAGACCAGAAGAAGTAGATACCACTACTGCCTGCTCTGACCAGGGACACAATAAAAGGTCCTAGTTAGAATGGAGACCAGTGTGTAAAACAAAACTCAGTCATAAAAAGACTAGACTCCCTGCACTAGTAGAGAGTGGAGAACCCTCCCGATTGTTGCCCTACCACACCCTTTTAACCTGGGATGGAAGCTACTCCCAGATTACCTTTCAGCCTAATAATAGATGGGCCTACAAAATAAACAGTAACACCCATGGGAAAAGTGCTCCTCAGAACAAATTATACAAAATCAAATAGGCAATATTTGCCCAAAAGCAAAAATGAGAAGGCAGGGAGGAGCAGGGACACTGGAGGGATGGAAATGGGGTGAATGCTGGCGCATTGCTGGGATAGCAACCAGTGTTAAGGACAATTTGTATATGGATTGATGAATGGGACACTAATGTGCTGTGCTAAGTTTCACCTGAAACACAATAAAATGTTTAACAAAACAAAACAAATATATTGTGTACTAACTACTTAAAGCAAGTTTCTGACAATATGTACTCAAAATTTTGAAGGAGTAAATGAATATTAAAATGATAATGTACATTTAGCACAGTAAGTGATACTAACATAGAGTGGGGATAAGGAGTCAGGAAATTTGATTAAAAGCGCGTAGATTTTCCTAGAAAGCAAAATTCTTAGAGTACTAGATGGGTAAAGTCTATGTTGTCACTGAGGTTGTGTTCAGAAATTTAGGTTGTTGTGAGACAGTATGTATCTTGGGGAGTGCAACAGTCCATCAGTAATACAAGCAAAGGAAATATTTTACATTTTTTAATTCTACTATACAAAGATTAGAAGATAATAAAGGATTTTTTTATATTAACTTGATCCAGGAGTTTATAGTTCAGCAATTCTCTTTTCATTTTTCTGATAAATTTAGGCTTTGTTATCTTGGAAAGAATCCATTTTAATACCATGTAGATAGTGAATCTAAATCACTTGGTCTACTAGTCAGGTGCCTAAGAATTTCTATTCATTTACCTTTTAAGTGATAAGCAGCTCATTTTAAAAAAAGGAACTGGTGAAAAAAAATATTAACACTGTCTTTTTTATTTATTTTTAAATTTCTTGTTGTATTTAGGAAAACTCCTCCTTAACTTGGTGGATCATACTGAAGTGGTCAGAGATTTAACTTTTGCTCCAGATGGGAGCTTGATCCTAGTGTCAGCTTCAAGAGACAAAACTCTCAGAGTGTGGGACCTGAAAGATGATGGTATGTCCTTTTCCTAGGCTGTAAAAAACATTAGTTCTTTGATATTACTGTTAAAAGAGGTATTAGGATCATCTTAGACAGTTATAAGTGGCATATGATCAGAGTTACCTTTTATCTGCTTAATCCTTTGGTCTTTTTCCCAATACAGATCAAACAAAAACATAAACAGGACCCAGGATAAGAGCCAGCAGTTGTTCTGTGTAAACAATCTGATATTTTATTCAGAAATTAACCACACAGATCTCTATCAACTATTTGAGGACAAAATGTGGTTTAATTTTAGAGTTTTACAAAAACTTTCTGTGTCATTTTCTTTTAAGGGGACGTTATTAATGTCCTGCATTTGGTTAGTGAATATTTAAGTAGACCTTGAAGTAACAAAAAGATAATCCAATAAAGTTTAAATTAAACATGATTTGCATGCCATAATTTATAACATGTAATGCAAAGAAATTCTTTTGTTAAAAGTTAAAGACACTTTTTAAATATGTTAGAAAGCTATGTTGGTATCAATAGAAAGGTATGAGAGCCTTTTCTAAAACTTTAATGTTTGCGATGCTTAAAAAAGTTTGAGAGGCTACTTTGTTTGAGTGGACCAGAGTTAAGCATCTCTTCCCCCTTGTAAAAGAGTTTGCGTTTTTAAGAGCCCCTAATAAAATCGTAGGAGCTCTGGTAGCATAGTGCCTAAGGTACTTGACTGCTAATCAGAAGGCTGGCAGTTCAAACCCACCAGGCACTCCTTGGAAGGGAGGTTGGGCAATCTACTTCCATAGTGATACTGCCTCGGCAACCCAAGGAGGAGTCGCTATGAGTCGGGTCCAACTGCATGGCCCATAACAACAACAACAAAATCATTTATCTTTTTTAATTAAAGCTTTGTATTTAAAAGAGATCTGTTGGTGCACTTAGATCTATAACTTGGAGGTACGTAGGCTTGCTCAGAGGTAATATAGTTTAAATTGAAATGTAGTAGGAGGCAAAACCCTCAGATTTGGAGAAATTGTTCCAGCTGATGGGTAGTAACCATTGTCTGATAAAATAATACTGGAACGTTACCAAACCATGAGGTACTTCCTCTGCGTTTTATCAGTGTTTGGATTCCTTAGCTATGGACTGGAGAAATGATCCCAACCGTTTAAGTTCTTTGATAAATTTTTATATTCTTTTGTATATTAAATTGTGTTTACATACCCCGACATATTTTCAGTTATGCACATAGGTTTTTAAGAATAGTCTCAGTAAAATTTTAAGTACCAAAAAATAGGAACTTTATCTTATTCTTAATTGTATCTTCAGTGCCTGGAACAAGACCTGGAGTATGGTAGGTATTCAGTAAGTATTTGTAAAATTAAGAGTTAATGTAGGTACTGTGAGTAATGTACAAGGAGCTTTGGCATGACATGTTAAATTATCAAAATGGAAGAATGATGAAAAAGCATTTTGAAGATTTTAAACAAGTCTTTTAACTTTGCTGTGTTCCCATTCATGGAATAGGAGGATTGAACTCAAAGGACAGTATATATTTAAGGTTTGTGGATAGTGCGATCTTCGTATAATTACTCAACTCTGCCTTTGTAGTGCAAAAGCAGCCATACATAATATGTAAAGAAAGGAGCATGATTGTGTTCTAATAAAACAAATAAAAAGCTTTACAAAAATAGGCACTGGTGTAGATTGCCAAGCCTTGCTATCGTGAATAATACACTAGATAACGCATGTCAGCTATAGAAGTTTGTAATTCAGTGATTTAGTACCATTTTGAAGTGCTATTCATTTGAAATGGATTCTAGGGTTAACACATAACTTCTTTTTGTTCAGGAAACATGATGAAAGTATTGAGGGGGCACCAGAATTGGGTGTACAGCTGTGCATTCTCTCCCGACTCGTCTATGCTGTGTTCAGTTGGAGCCAGTAAAGCAGTATGTATCAAAGTTCTTGTACATTCATTGTGACTTGGATTTGTAATAATGTGTGCATAATCATTTTAAATCTAAGTAACCTATTAAGTCTGTGCTCGGTGTCATGAATATCCTAAATGTTTTATTTCATGATGGGGGAGAATTTGCATGAAGGAAATTAATATAGTTACTGATTGTGAAGTGAGAAATTGGATTGCTTTTAGTTAGAGATACTATTCATAAAATGAAGGGTATGTCACATTTATTTTTTGTAAGATCTAGGAAGTTTATATGCTGTAGAAGAGATTAGTCCAAATGTTAAGACATTCCCTTGCTAATTACTTTCTCTGTTGTTCTATTTTTTGTCCAGTTTGCTGTTTTTAAAGTTGAGTCCCAGCTGGTCCTGGACATTTAACTGAAAAAAAGTAACTTAAAAATCTAATAAGAATAAAAATAGCCCTCATGTATGTCCTACAATGAAGTATAGATGAAAGTTGATATTGTCTTACATAGCATACTTGTAGACAGCTTCAATAAATGACTCTTCGGAGAGTTTTGCTAATTGATGAACTCTCTTTTAGTTGTCTATCAGCTCTGTGTTGTATAAAGAGATCTTATTAGCTTCAGGTATTTATGAAAATGATTGATGTCCAAATACATGTGTTGATCACAATATACTTTGAGTTAATGGGGGATGGGAGGCTGGTGAAATGCATTTTATTTAGCTAAGAATAAGAAGTATGTTAAGGTAGTTGCAAATGTTGGAAGTTTAAAGCAAAATACCTAGTTTAGTTCTTTAAAAATCATAGGAAGATCAAAGCTAGATGTTGACATTGCTATTTTAGGCTGTGTGTTTTCCATATGCTTCTGCTTTCCCTGTCACAGGTGGTGGCAGCAATATTGGTGTGATTGAGGTTATGCTGGCACCACTCGCACACAGGCGCACAATGGTGTTAGCTGGGCAGAAAGAGTGGCATCTCTGGCTACCGGGCTGGGGGCGACCTTTACCGTAGGATGAAGTAACCTTGCATTCGGCTGCAAGGTGTACTGTACGTACACAGGTGCTGGTCGATGTCCACTTTCTGCTTTTCTTTCTTTCTTTTTTTTCTTTTTTAAAATAATTTTCCCCACAGTGAAACCCACTGACTCCGAGTAAATTTATCTTCCAGTTTAATGGAATTAGAAGTCTGACAAATGAAACCAATTTAATGTAAAGCAGTTTGGCTTTCTTTCAAATGGTTTCTCTGCTATTTTTTAATTCTTTGAGATGCTAGTGATAACTTAAGTCTTTGATCTAATTTAAAATTTATATTTATTTTCCTTTAGAAGTAATACATTGTGTCTGTGCAGAAAAAAAAAAAATGTAGCAAAAAGGATTGGTTTACTCCAAGAGGAGGGGAGAGATTGTGTTCTTTGGATTGTTATAAACTTCAAAGCTCACATTTAATATTAACAGATTGAAATATACATTAAATCCTCCTTAGAGCTATTCTGCACAGTCTAATACTGAGCTTTAAAATCTAAAACTATATGTAAACTTGTACTTAAGTAATTTAAATGTTTTATACTTACAATGACTAATGATTGTGGTCAGTTTGGGAAAAATAAGATTGGTATATCTTGATTCAGGAATTGTTGCGATTGTATTATTTTCATAAAATAGCATTTTCATTTTGTAATGTGGTGTAACATCCTTGTTGTTTACCAAAGAAATTTCATTTGGCTGTGAAAATTCTCTTTGCTTGCAGTATCTGTTTCTCTTCCTAGGCTCACGTTGGTGATCCAAGCCTATTGTAAACAAGTGATTATCTCAAAGGGAGATGCCAATGGAGTAACAATTTGTTAACCATACGTTTTCTGTCTGTATATATTTTTTTTAATTTAGTAGTTTCTGGAAAAAGGAAAAAAAAAAAAAAAGAAGGGTTTGTAATACTTAACCCTATTTATTTCCATATATTTTAATTAGTTTTTGAAATAAACAGATTTCAGTATAATTTTGTGGTTAAATCGCATTGCCTTTATTTTGTGTTTAGGCTTATTTTTTGATTAACATTTAACAGAAGCATTTGAAATAGATTTTGCATGTCTGTTTTAATTAACTTAAAAGACTGATTTTAATCTATGACACTGAGCATATTTTAATTATTCATAATTTATAATGTTTAATATAATCTTAATTAATTTAGCATTTTTAGTTTAAAATGTACCATTTTTGCTTCTGTGTGCTTGAATGAAGCTATAACATTGCCTTTTTATTGCAGGTTTTCCTTTGGAATATGGACAAATACACAATGATACGGAAACTAGAAGGACATCACCATGATGTTGTAGCTTGTGACTTTTCTCCTGATGGAGCTTTACTGGCTACTGCATCTTACGATACTCGAGTGTATATCTGGGATCCACATACTGGACGCATTCTGATGGAATTTGGGTGGGTATAGCGTGAATCATTTTAGTCCATAATTTAACTCTGGCTATTATTATAGCTTTAAGAAGTTGAATGAATGATTAGAATCACTAACATTAAAGTCTAACATAATTTTAAAATATGTTGTTATTTAAGCTCTTAAATAATGCATATCTTTAGATACAAATTCTAAAAATAAATTTGTCTTTCTTGGTACCAGTCTTGATATTTAACTGTTTCTGACCTTCTAGAAGCAATAATTTATAATATTTAACAGTTTGGCAGGTCTCTAGTATTTCCATGTTGAGGAAATAGTTAAAACCAAAGTTAAACCCAAACCAGTAGTTAAAAAATGTAATCTTAGTGTCTTAAACCACTTTTTTATTTAAAAAAAAAAAAAGAGATCAGTAGTTCTTTCAAGGCCCCTTTCATTTAGTTTGGACATACCATCTCTGCTCAGTCTTCTCAGCTGTGTTCATTAAGTACACTTTAAAACTTACTCAAAGATGGATGCGCTTTGTACCTAGGTAGTTTTGTTTCTTGAAGTGACCCTATCACTGAAAATATGTTTGCCTGCAGGCATCTGTTTCCCCCACCTACTCCAATATTTGCTGGAGGAGCAAATGACAGATGGGTGCGCTCTGTCTCATTTAGTCATGACGGTCTACATGTTGCAAGCCTTGCTGATGATAAGTGAGTGTGTGAATTATAGCCTTACTTAATTATTAAAGATTTCTTTTGATACTTCTTAAGCCTGGGGTGGGGGAAATTTTCCTGCAATTTGAGTTTTAGTGTCTTTCTGTAGGCAAGGACTTGAGGGATCTTTGATAGGTCTTAAAGTACATTGGCCTGAATAATATTTATGTAAACTAAAGATAATGCATGCCTTTCCCTGTGTTTCTTATATGGTAACCAGTTTAGACAAACTTGGGCAGATGTTAATTGGCTTTTGGCTCAGCTCACAGAGATTTTTTTCAGTAATTATCTTATAAAGATTGAAGCAGAAGGAAATTTTCCAAAGTGAAACAAATGATAAAAATACTGTATCCACTGAGAGGACTAAAGTATAGGCAGTCCCCAATATATGAACGCAGTTAAAAATGAACCTTCGTAAAGCCTCTTATTAAAAATTCAAGTTACATACAGTGAATTGCAGTAACAAATGTGTGGTACTTTGCGATGCTCATCAAAACATTATTATTTTTGTATTATGTTAAAGATGGTTTTAGTGTATCTGGAAGTCTTTATTGTTTTTTATGCATAGAAAGGTACACAGTATACTAAGACAAACGTTTGACTAACAGGTGTTAGACATGAACCAAACCTAATTGTTCCAACTTACATACAAATTCAACTTAAAGACAGACTTAGGACCAGAACTTATTTATTATTTATAAACTGGGAACTGCCTGTATGAAAAAGTGAGGAGAAAGCTTCCAGTTGTGAACATACAGACCTGCAAAAGGAAGGCAGCTGTGCATTGTAGTCTCTTAAGTGTGAATTGATCCAAGTTACTAACTGGTGGATAGTAGACCATAACATGTTTTATGAAACAACAGTTATTGCCTGCTACAGTGCTCTGTGTGTGTGTATTTCTTTCTGAATTTTAACAGTTACTTTTACCTGAAATACCCTACTAGATTGTCACTAGACAATTCATTTCCTTTCCAGAATGGTGAGGTTCTGGAGAATTGATGAGGATTATCCAATACAAATTGCATCTTTGAGCAATGGTCTTTGCTGTGCCTTTTCTACTGATGGCAGTGTTTTAGCTGCTGGGTAAATATATTTTTATATTTTCTTTAAAAAGCAGTTGAAGGTGGTTTTAGTCAAAGTAGCCAGTGGGTTTTTTTTTTTTTTTTTCTGTTGGTACTCTTTATAATATTGTCACTTTGTGACAGATCATTGGTTGGGTTTCATTAATTAGGTTTTAATGTAAATCTTACACACATGATGATAGTTGTTTGACCTATAAACCAACCAAAGAAAACCCCCACTGCCATCAAGTCAGTTTCAACTCATAGTGATTGTGTAAGACAGTAGCATTGCCCTATGGTATTTCCAAGGCTGTCATCTTCATGGAAGCAGGCTGCCAAATCTTTCTCCCACAGTACAGAGTAGCTGGTGGATGCAGACTGCCAACCTTTACATTAACAGCTTAGTGCTTTAAACACTTTGCCACCAGGGCTTCTTTAGAGATACTGAAACACATGCTTGAGTGACTGAGCTTCTGGTTTTTGTTTTCATTTAGGACACATGATGGAAGTGTATATTTTTGGGCCACTCCAAGGCAAGTTCCTAGCCTTCAACACTTATGTCGTATGTCAATCCGGAGAGTGATGCCTACCCAAGAAGTTCAGAAGCTGCCGGTTCCTTCCAAAGTTCTGGAGTTTCTCTCCTACTGTATTTAGAAGACTCTGCCTTCCCCAATAGAAAGGACAAACAGAATACCCTTTACACAAACCTCAAGCTTTACTGACTTAAGTATCTGTTTTAAAAGGTCTAAAAGATTTATTTGATGCATTCTTGTATTGCATTTTGATCAGTTGAGCTTTTAAAATACTATTTATGACTATAAGAGGAATAAAGTCCAACTGTGAAAACATATAAACACATGTATATATTTAGATACAAGCTGCTATGTGTTGAATGAACTCTTTTGCTTTTCTAATTTTTAGTGTCTGGCATGTATATATTGCTTCATTAGAACCACAGTATGTGTCTTTGCTGTGAAGTGTATGGAATCTTTTATTCTGGGATACTGAGTTTAGATGGTAAATATCAACATAAAAAAGCTAAATTGCCTCATACTAAATGTGTATTTGGTTGGGGGAGTGGGGTTTAGACAACTACCCTGCATGCAAAACAGTTTTTGTATAGGGAAATAATTCTGTTTTCCTTAGGAGTGGCATCTGAGAGGTAGTGTGTGAATGTGACATTATTAAATAGTAGAATAGAGCCAGGATATAACTAATAAAAAAGGTGTATATTTTTTTTTCCTTGAAATACTGCTGCAGGCCTTAGTTTTGGAAAGCAACCTGCTAACTTTAACCCCTGTGATATAAAGTATTACATATTTTAGTCAATTTGAAAAATTCATTTACTGTGTTATTGCTTTAATATTTTGTTTGTACTAAGGGACTATTATTTTAAGACTTTTTAATTTTATTTTTTACACATATCCTATTTCTGCAGGGGATGATACTGGTGACTTGCCAAAGAGAAGCAATACAGTATATCTGCTTTTGCCTTCTGTTATTTATCATACCTGCAGATATTAATGTATGCATTATGTAAAATGCTTTATTATATATTTTTGTTGACTTTTTTAATTAAAGAATTGTTTTTAAAAAAAGAAAGCCCTATTTGTCTTGAATGTTACCTGAAATAAGTTGTAAGGTTTAGTTTTTTGCCCGTCCCCATTGTAAAAATTCATATAGAGCATCACAAATTAAGCAAGAAAGGTAATGAAGAACTAGGGTACTGCTTTAGAGGGAATTTTCAGTGTTTCATGAATACAACTGGTACATTCATTGGTTATGGAAGAATTGTTTCAGTAATGCTAATTTTAAAGTGTAGGAAAGCTCTAAAAAAAGGAAAATAACTGTATGAGAAAGAAAATGATCTTTAAGGAGAAGAGTTGTGGGGCCCCTAGGTGGTACATGCAGTTTGTACTTGGCTACTAACCAGTGGATTGGCAGTTTGAATCCAGAAAGTGGCACCTTGAAAGAAAGGCCTGGTGGTCTGCTTCAGTAAAATTCAAAGCCAAAGCCATTGCCATTGAGTGGATTTTGACTCATGGCAACTCCTTGTGTTACGGAGTAGAGCTTATCCCTAGGGGTTTTGGGTTGTGATCTTTATGGTAGCAGATTGCTGGGCCTTTCTTCTGCATTGTGGCCCGATGGGTTTGAACCACCAACCTTAGGTTAGTAGTCAAGTGTAAGCTCTTTATGTCATGCAGGAACCTTCTGTAAAATAGTTAGGTACCATCAGTCAGGTCAGTTCCAACTCATAGAAACCCTGTATGCAACAGAACAAAACACTAGATTACAGCCACTGAACGCCCTGTGGGGTGCACTTCTCATACACGGGAGGCTGCCATGGGTCAGAATTGATTTGATGGCAATGGGTGTAGACCTTACAGTAAACATATGACCTGGTTAAATTAGCCATAAAGAATAGCTGGTGGTGTGGGCCCTTTGAGGAAGCAAAAAAGCAAGGCTTTTATTAGCCACTTGTGCCCTCGAAGATTTGATTGTTGCCACTGAGAAAATCTACCCAAGTTACTTCTTGAGGATTATAAAAGAATGCACAAATTACACCTTAATTTTTATCTTTAAACCCCTCATTTTTGTTTTTTTGCTCTTTATGTAATCTGCATTATAATTTTAAATGTTAAAATACCGTAACTTTGTTGTCACATCATTAAATTACACATACCATACTCGAGAAAAAAGCTTTCTTAGAAGATAAGTTCTCTGAGAAGTACAGAATGATGGCTGCCTCTTGTGAGGACATTAGTGCCAGGATGAAAGGAAGACTACAGAAGTAGACAGACACATGCTTACATTTTGCATTTGTCTACCAGGGAGAATGTAGTAACACGATTACACTTTTAGATTGAATAACCAAAGGAAGGTAGGGAATGCCTCATAGACAAATGGTCTCTCCAACATGATTTTGGTTACTGACTTGGTTGAATCAGATTCTAGCTACGTGATTTCAAAATGATACTGCTGCTTGCTTTTGTATTCTCTGTTCCAAACAGTATTACTACAATATGCCATTTGGAGAACTGGCAAGAGATCATTTATGTTCAGATTTGATTTCCTGTTTTTAGCACCCCACTGGAGTATGTTATAACACAGGAAAATGTCTTGCACTCTGGCCAAACTGTCCTTACACAACAGTGAAATCACTTTAAGACCTGTAACTTGATATTAGGTTGGCAAAGCTTAAATTTATGATCCTTGAAATTCTCTTCCTCTTTATGATTGAGGTAAAAGTTGGATTCAGCTGGTTTGCACTGCTCTCAGGGCAAGACTAAAGAACTGGACTACATTGCAACATGTTTTGGGGCTGAAGCTGTGCCTGATGGCTGCAGAAGACTTGGCTGCCAGCCAGCCAGCACAGGGCTAAGAATAAAAGGCATGAGAAGTTACATGGTCTCACAAACAGTAACCATAGAGACAGTGAATCCAACCTCGATTAATCAGAATAGGGTTTGCGGACGATTTAAGGATTTAATCCACGGAGTCCTCGGATTTATACATTTTAATTTTTATCTACAGTAGAATCATGTGGGTTTACTGTTCTATGTCAATGATAAAATCATAAGCATTAACTGGTATTTTTTGTTTTTTCATTTCTAACTTCTCTCAAGTAAGGACTGTTGGCAAATAATTCAATGTAACCTGGAAAAATATCAATACTGGCTTTTATGGTAAGATATTTGGGAGGAATGAAGATTGTTGGGGTCATTTTAACTTGCCTTTTGCAAAGCTGGCCCTTAGCCTAAAGAGGAAAAAAAAAAAAAAAACCAACCCTGAACCAAATGGAAAGTGACCTATTTCTATTGCAAAATTTGGGTAGCTTTGTTGGGTTGTCATTTGGCATTTATATGGATTGGTTTACTTTAACAACTGAGGAATCAAAAGATTGAATGAGGCTGGGATGGAGAAGGAAAAATGTAATTTTTATTCTGCATTATTTTGTCTATTAGAGATTAATACAACTGATCATCCTGGTGGTTTGTCTTTTAGTGATAATGGTAGAAATTCAGAGGTTGCTCTTATGGTCTGAAAGTAAACTCTAGGCTTTAAGAAAACCTGTAACACAATGTTGCCTATCAGTGATGGTGACAGTTTGTTATGTTTTAAATGAGGTATCAGTCTTTCTTTTTTCATTTTTTTTTATTTTTTTTTTTTTTAATTAGGATTTGGGTGAAGATTTACAGAGTAAATTCACTTTTCATACAGCAGTTCACATATACTTTGTCTCATGTCATTGACCAAAATTTTCATTTTTTTTTAAAGTTGTTTCCCAGGCATGATGTGTGAAATACAGATGTGTATAAGTTTCCTAATTATTGGTTACTAATGAGATGATCTTACAGGGGGGAAAAAAGTGTAAGGATGGTGAATATTAAAAGATACTTGACAAAGATAATAGTGATGTAAAATAGAGCCAGAAATGAGGCTAACAAATAAAATGGAAACCATAAAAGATAAACATTGCCACTAAGTGAGCCAAATATTTGGTTTTAAACAAGCAAAATGGAAAACCCAGTGAGTCATATGATTCATAGTGTCTGTCTCATAGCAGTTGTTGAGGGAAAGCACAGTTAAAACTGACTGTGGGACCAGCAGGAATGTCTCCTTTAAACTTCTTAGTTAGCTGTAAGCTCTGTTAGTGCATACTGTCATCCATAACTATATATTCCCCAACCATCTCTAAGACCTCAGACTAGGATGATTTGGTCGAAATGACGTTGGATGATATCAAGTGAACTTGGAAAAAAAACATCAGCAAATGTTACTGAACACTACTGAGTTGCAAGGGTCTGCAGGTACCTGGGAAACAGGGCCATGCAGCCCCAAGTCAAAGGTCTCCACCATTCCGTTATGTGACATAGCCTGTTTTCACTTGTTTTACTTAATTTCACGACATGCCCGATCCTTGTAGATTCTTGATTTTATGATGATTACCTCTATGCTCTCTTTCCAGTTGTCACAGACAAGCTGACCCAGCCCAAAGTGGTCTGACCCCTCTTTTCTTGAACTCTGTTAAGAGTTGTCATTTCCATGCCATTTCCTTGGCCTTCCTATTTATTACTAGTTACTCCTTAGTCTTGGTTCCTCATTTAGAAGTCAAATTCCTTACTCCTTAAGGAGATCGCCTAGCCTCTTCCAACAGGGCTCTGTGCCTGGCTAGCATTTCAACTCATAGTGAGCCCTGTTGGGTTTCCAAGGTGAATCTTTATGGAAGTGGATTGCCCCATCTTCCTTCTGCAGAGTGGCTGATGGGTTTGAACTGCCCACCTTCTGGTTAGCAAATGCCTTAGGCACTGTGCTACCAGAACGCCGTACAGTGGTGGTTGGTACTGTGAAAGACCAGCCCCTGGCCAGCAGGCCCTGTGTTGGGGCATTTAGGTGAGAGTCCTAGAGAAAGCAGCTGCCTCAGTCTGTGTTGGGTCACATTGCTCAGCACCTGGCAAAGGCTCAGCCTTCTAGGCTTGGCCCCATCTGGCCTTGGATCAGGAGGATGTTCATGTAGCAGGTTGGCCTGGTTTCTGCCCCCAGGGCTTGCTGCCCAGAGGACTGTCCACAAGTGCTGACTGAAGCTGCAGTCCCAAGAAAGACTTGGGTGTTTGTTGGCCGCTTAACAGCTAGTAACTTTCTCAGCTTTGATACAAAAATATTTTAATAATGCCTCCCCTACATGAGTGGGGTTGCGTTTATTTCTATCTGCACAGTGTTGGGTACATGGTCGACACTTGACATTTGTTATGGCCATTTGTTGACCACCGATCATGTGTGCTCATCTCTATTCCTGGTGATTCCCAACAACCCTGTGAAGCAGTATTATTCCTGTTTTATAGCTATGTAGGTTCAGAGAGACCAACTCACTCTCCAAGGTCATACAGTGAAGAAATGACCATCCAGGACTTAGATTTGAGTTACTCTGTCTCTAGAGTCTGGTTTCCCTCCATAGAAAATTGGAGCTGGCTATAACAGCATAGAGGTTGAATGGGGCAGTATGGTTGAAAGGCATTCTCTCACCATCAGACCCTTATACTAGTCT